TAAATTTTTCAGATTACGTCTCGTGAACAATCTAGATAAATTAATTTAGATGACGAAGTTTTCTATCTTAGATGACGGGTAGATACCAATTGTGTAATTTATCTAGATAAGATAAAAGATACGATTGTTTTATCTAGATAAAGTATCTAGGTAAATTTATCTAACTAAATTTAGCTATTGCACAACACTGCTAATGGGGAACCGCTGCATTAGAAGAAGAAGGAAAGAAATCCATACACAGGAAGTTTGTGGTACACCTCTAAGAGAGAAAAAGGGCAGAAAAGGGTCAGTTCAATATTATATATGGTGAATTACGAAGATTTCTGAAAAAATTTTTTAGTTATTACAAAATGTCTATAAAAACATTTGATAAACTTTTAAACAATGCAAAAAGTGACCTGGAAAAAGAAGGTAATATCAAAGGTGATACAATACCGGCAGTGGAAAGTTTATCGATAACTCTTAGTAAGTACCGATTTTTTATTTGAATAAATATACATGTACTCGAATATTTTTTATGTATGGCTTTTCAAATAAAATAAAAATGTAATAAATTTATTTGCAACTTGTAAAATCAAATCAAATGAATGATAAATACCGATTTTCATATCTTTTAAATAAAATAATATTAAGAAAAAAATTAAAAAATTGACCTAATACTTAATAGTTTGTAATGAAACGCAATCGGTTGTTGTAAATTGTTTTTATTGATACATTATATGCAGAACCAATTGTCTCATTATCTAAGTTTGTTACAATAAGTATATGGTTTTCATATGACAATATTTTCTTTTTGAGGGATTACCTCCGTTATACTCGCTAGGACGAGTGTACAATTAAAATAGTTTATTGGGGTTTTACAAACAGGGGTGGGTGTCTGAACATGGAACTCACAGTTTACTCGACTCGGACGGCGGCGTGCTGTGGTCAACAGAGTCTCTGACAGACAATAATCTGCTCTGCTCGTACGGCGGCGTGCTGTGGACAGTAATCTGCTCTGCTCGTATGGCGGCGTGCTGTGGACAGTAATCTGCTCTGCTCGTATGGCGGCGTGCTGTGGACAGTATTGGTATGGCGTTGGCTGGTTGGTGAACTTCTGTGGCGCCTGTTGATGGTCGTCTCACCGAAACACTTGTGTTTTGCAATGGTAGAGGGATACCGGGACAGGCTGTAGAGTATCCGTGTATAACGGTTTTTGACGACCGTCCGGCTTACTCAGCCTGAGGGGTAATGCTGTGGATGCTTGTATATTAGTGTCCGTGTATAACGGTATTTAGACCGTCCGGCTCACTAATAACTGCACTCAGCGGGGAGATTGTCCGTCTGGGTAGTGTTTCCAGCCTATACTTATAATAAGTCTAACCCTCAGGTGATAGGCTAAGTCGGAAACCGGTTCTGGGGTTGTACGGTGATTTCTATTCGACTTAAAACACATTAAAACTCCTTTTCACATAGTCCGTAGTGTATTGTAGATACTGACACTTTGCAAAGGGTTTTAAGTTGAGATGTTCTTTCCCAAATGAATTTACTTGTTTGGGCGGCGCGTCGGCTTAAAGATATTCTCTTTATTAGCGCTCCCTGTGAATCGAGGTGTCGATGTTCCGCGGTATAGTTGTTGATTGCTACGCAAGATCGCGTGGCGGTGCGAGCGGTTCGAGGACAGGTGGCTTAGTTGGGGAACGGGCAACGAGAGTGCGCCACTTTCATGGACACTCCGTTTTGTCCCGTTACAAGTTGGGGTGGCCAGTTATTGCTAGAGCCAGGAATTTCATTCTCAGAAGCATGCAGTCCATAGTTGTGAGCTGTATTCAACGCTTCAGGAATAGATGATGAATATTGAATTGGTTGTATGATTAGATGATATGGTGAAGTTGATCCGGTAGGACGTTTCCTGGCATATTTTTGTACTACCCGCATTAACTTGATTCTGGCATCCATTTTACTTTCATTATCAATTGCCTTCATTCCGGGTAATAATGGCAAAAGAAAATATTTGTCGTTATCATCATCTTCCTTCATGGATTCATCCTAAGCTTTTAGAAGTTTCTGCTGGAATAAAGTAGGCGAATCACTATTTTTTCTGTTGGTTATTCTTTTTGTTCCTAAGATCGAAGGCGTGTTCACCACTGCAAGTGTATCAATTTGTGTGGTTAAATCACCAGAAGGATTATCGTTGGAATCTTCAATCCCAATGTCTGGTGAAACTTCTGTTGGATTTTCATCTACCACATCCATAGTATTTTCATGTAAAAAAAGTGAAATATTATCAGATGTTCTGAAATAAAATAAAGTAATGAAATCCGTTAGATTGTGTCGTATCGATTGGTGGGTCACTGAAATGTAAGTCGTGTTTAATTTGAATTCAATGATTTATCAATTTATCATTGTTAAAAAAGCGTTTTTGAGCCTAGACGATCTATCAGCCTATTCCAGAATATATTTTTTTGGTATTACTTTAATAAGTAATTTATTTTAACTACTACCTACTGATTCGTATTAGTACTTATAACGTTAGGTTGATTTAATTTTTGAAGAAAAATTAGCATTTATTATAATATTATATTATAATAGTGTAATATATGTATCGTATTATATTATTGTTATTCACTTTTGAGTCAATACTGCCTTTCTGTAGCAACCAATATATGTAAATCTTATATTAATAATAAATTATAATTTTGTGTTTCATAATGTGATTTTATTGTTATCTGTGAATGATTTATTGATTTGGGGGATTGGTCAATTAAAAGTTATTGTGTTTTATGGTATATAAATAATTAATATCTTAATTAAATATTGTTGTGTCAAGAAATTCGAAAATTTTCAGTAACTTTGCAATAATATTCACCTAAGGTTTATATGTATGTTAGAGAAAAGTTTAATAACATATTGCCTCACCCAAGAACATTAAGTCGGTGGTATATGGCCATTGATGGCGATCCCGGATTTACTAAAGAATCTTTTGATTCCATTGGCTGATTTCGCAAAAACAAAAGTAGTTCAATGTAATTCAGTGATTGATGAAATGTGTATACGAAAACAAGTAGAAATGGATACTAATCGAAATGTGTATGGCTTTGTTGATTTGGGTGTTACAAGTACAGAAAATACGGATACAAATATACAAGAGGCAAAAAATGCTTTAGTTTTTATATTAATTGGAATAAATGGTTACTGGAAGTTGCCAATTGGTTATTTTTTAATTGATGGCTTGTCAGGAAAAGACAGAGCCGACCTTTTGTTGAAAAGATTACAATTAATAAATGAAACTGGAGTTAAGGTAAATTCTTTAACTTTTGATGGCGCGTCAGTTAATACTTCAATGGTTTCTGCTTTGGGAGCAGATTTGAATAACTCACCACAAATTATAAACAGTCACACAAAAGAACCAATCTATATTTTTCTCGACGCTGCGCATATGATCAAATTTGTTAGAAATGCTTGGGGTGATCGTGTTTACAAAAAAAATGGGAACAGCAAATCAGTGCAAGTAATAAAAGAACTTGTCAGTTCTAACGATGAATTAATTAGATGGGATTATTTAGAAAAGTTATATAAAATAGAAAGTGAAAAAGGACTAAAAGCTTGTACAAAGTGTACAATAAGACATATAGAATATTTAAATGAAAAAATGAATGTAAGGCTTGCCGCTCAAACATTAAGCAAAAGTGTAGCAGATGCATTAATGTTCCTAAAAGCTAATGAACCTTATTTTAAAGATGTTGATGCAACAGTTCAGTTTATTCAATATATGATATACTAAATAGCCGAACTAAATGTTCTATTAACCCATACGATAAGCATATATCAATTGAGACAGTAGATACTTATAGAATATTTATAACCAAATTTACTCAATATGTAGGTCTTAAGTTTATTGAATATAAAAATGAACAAAGAATTGTCACAACAGTTCTTAATTCAAATAGAAATACAGGATTTATCGGTATGATTATAGGCCTAAAAAATGCAATTAATTACAAAGTACCCCAAGACCACATCGAAACAACATTTAGTGCGATTCGTAGTAGAGGTGGTTATAAAAATAACCCAACCTGGAGACAAATTGCCGCTTCCTACAAGCGTATATTGGTACATAATCAAATAGCGGGTTCAATTTATGGCAATTGTACGATATTGGATAATACAAAAATGTAAGTATAACATCTACAACAGAAGCCAATACAGTACAAAATAATGAACATATGATGGACCATGATTATTTAGATATAGTAGCTGTTGGTAATTTTAGTGAAAATGTCTGTTTTTACATTGCTGAATTTGTAGCTCGGGCAATAGCAAAAAAAAATTGTTTGCGAAAACTGTCGAAATACACTCATTGCAGATAAAACAAACAAGACAACATATTCAGCTTTTGGACCAAAAAAATCGAGGAAAATTGACTACTCCAAGTGACACGGTTGGAAAAATTTGCTTAAACGCTGAAAGTGTTTAAAAGTTATCCCATAGATTTTAATTACAAAAAACATACCACATTCCTCTGGAATAAAATAAAAAATGATATTTTTAAATATAAAATTATGTTTAGTGCTCATGGTTGTAAGGAAAATGTTTCTGTTTTGGATACTCACCGTGATCAATTAACTAATTTAATAATTTATAAATATTTAGGTATAAGAATGTTCCACGAAAAAAAAAAGGAAGGAAAAAAAGGAGCAATCAAAAATTAGGTCAAAATTCACTTAACTAATTCTTTTTAAAAACCAGTGATTTTTTACAAACGATTTGTAAAATAATTAATTACTAATATTTATTTTATTTATATTTTATACAATTTTACAATTTTTATTAATTTTGGCGTAATCACTTATCAAAGTAAACTATTGAGGTTACCGGATATAACCATTGCGGTAACGTGTATTCACTCGAGGCACACACCAAACCACCTTATGTCCTATCCATGTATATATTATCTATAAATACTGCGCCAGTACTGGCTAATACTGGTGCCAGTGTTGCCATAAAGTAAAACCAAAAATTAGTGTTTTTTTTTAATCACAGCATTTGCATTCTTGTCGGACTTTTTTACCGGGATTCATATGAGCATAATGCAGCGATGTATTCTATCACACGAACACCGTATCCGATAAACTATACCGTTAGATGGTGCTGTTTTCATGACAACAAATTTCAATGATAATAATTTATATTTGAAATCATTTCTATAAAAAAAAGGTTAGGTTATATTTCATTTCGAATTATGGTTATTAATTAATTATTATTATTATGTGGGAATGTACGATTACTGCGGACTGCAATTGAATTTTTAATAATTTATAATTTTAAACGAGTTAAAAAACATAATTTGTATATTTCATTAGTTTATATATAAATATATGATATAATTTATAATTATATTTAATATAGTTAAAATGCCGAGTTGTTGCTTTTTTGGAAGGTGGCAAGTAGCCAAAGAAAAAAACGAAGGCATAACTTTTCTAAGTAAGTTAACTACATACATTAAATAAATTGATATTTGTATGTTATTGTTTAATAAATGATTTAACAAATAAAAATATAATAACATAATATTGTTATATAGATGTCCACGCCTTCCTAACCTGTCCTGCTGCCGCCCGCCGTGGCCGCGTTCGCCAATGCCATTATGGATAATGAAATATTATAAAATTAATTAATTTTACATTATAAAGGGAATACATATGTATTGCAGTGTGGAAACTTATAGAATTTTGGGCACTGTATCACTTTGTGCTCCTTTTCACGGCACAGGTCACATTCTGAAAAAAAAAATATAGTTAAAAACATAATTTTAGTTAACTTATATTTGACACTTACTTCCAGTAAACTCTTTTGCTGGTGGTACCGGCACATCATCACCATCGCCGCCTTCGCCTTCACCACGACCACCGTCACCACCACGACCGCAACCGCAACCACCACCGCCATAAATAGTTATATTACCGTACATCTATAACACAAACAAATTAACATTGATGACACTATGACAAGTTATGTATTTGTTAAAAACCCAATGCCAAGTTCCATGAAAAATTTATTAATTTATGAGCCACTAAATCAATTTTAAGTGACCATAAGCCAGGGTTGGCAATATACGCGTATAAAACGTTTTATACGTTACACCCCATGTATAAAACGTATAAAATGTATAAATCTTATTAACGACCAAGACATAAGGAGAATTAGGTATAAATTGTTTTCTTTGAAATTTATAATTGTTTTTATAATAGTGATAACACTGATAATAGTATATAGGTACTGTACATTTAAAATTTTAATAAGTGTAAACTTATAAACTGTAACATCAATTTAAAAAACTTTCTTAAATGTAGATTGAATTTAAAATTAAAAACAAAACAAATTAATTTTTTTGTTATTATAAATTGATAAGTATTAAATAGTAAATACCAATATTAACGTAGTTACTAGTTTTAATGAAGAATAAAGATACAGTATAAAACTTATACAACTAAGTAGTTTTATACTGTACTGTATAAACGTTCCAACCCTGACATTAGCCCACTATTAATTATTTAATGTTTAGTTAGATCGTATGTTTAATAAGTTTGTAGTCATCTTAGAGTAAAATCGTCTATTACAAAAATTATTTGAAGTATAGATTAATAATTTTAGAGGGTTTGATAATATATTAAGTACATTTTACGGTTTTAAATTTTATTATTATTTGACTTTATACTTGGCTTTCAAAATAAAAATAAAAATAAAAATTTGTAAATTTAAATTGTTTTGAGACAATATTTGGACAGACCAATATATTAGAAATATTATGCTCAATAATTTTTTGCAATGGGTGGATTGTACTCAAATACTTAAAAGAATGATTCTGTGTAAATACGTTTTGTCTACGTTGCTCGCTTGTCAGAGACAGAAAACATTTAGTCGTCAAAATAAATCTTAATATTTTAGATTTAAATTTGAAACACATATCACGCGGTATACTCTTAATTATAATGATGTACCTAGATTTGTCATAGTAAAATTGTATTTATTTTATATATCTTGTTAACAATAAGTATAATAATATAATATTGAACTTGAATTTTGTAATGTAACGTACCTATCTATTTTTAAATTGTAACAAAACGTAATTAATTCGATTAAATTTACTTAAAATGTAAATTAAAAAGCGAACCCATATTATTCAAAATAATAAGTACTTTATCTTAAAAAAATATGACGTAGAAAAAAGTATAATACTCACGGTTGTAGGAATACTTCTTGGGTATACTATTTGCTGCAGTTTGCAGACGGCAGGCGCACTAATCGTTAGAGGTGTGTCGTTCGCGAACGAACGGGTCGTTTGATCCGATTCAATGTAATGAACGAAATGATCCGGATCGTGTAAAAATGAACCAGTCGTTCGTCAATATATTTTTTTTTTTCGTGAATTGGATACACTGGATACGACCCGTGGGCGTTGATCGTTCGCGAACGAATTTACTTTGATTTACTTTGTAGTATTATTGTTCTGACGACTCTAACAGGAGATAACAGTTATCATAAAAAAAATAATAATCTAATATAACCGTTTTAGACCAATGCTGTAAAAAGTAAAAACACACAAACAGTAAACACACTAAACACAAAAATTGTTTTTTTCTAATGTTTTTATGCATGAAACTATGAAAGATGAAAATATTGTCATATAGTTTTAAATTCTGACATTAACTGTCTTCAGTATTATTATTCAAACATATCAATATGTAAGTAGTTAAGATGCAGTATAAAAACAAAACATGGTATTTATATGAATGAAATTGCCTTTATGTTTTATATGCTGTCATAAACTTTCTTCAGTATTCTTTTTTAAATACATGTCAATGTAACATAAAAACATTTTTTACAAATATACAATTATAGGTACATATTAGAAGGTTCACATATTATGATTCAAAAATAAAATTTGTGAAATCTTACTGGTTGTCAATCTACTTCTTTTTTCAGTCACTACTTGTCCAGCTCTTGAGAAAACTCGTTCACAAGGCACTGAAGTTGCAATCATGCATAATCTTCTTTTCACCAACTCATACATTCTTGGATAAACCTTTTTTCGCTCGGCCCACCAATCTAAAGGATTTTCAAATCTACTTATTAAAGGTTCGTTCAAATACTTATCTACTTCGATGATTCCAGCAACTGATGGATTTGTTCCTCCAATCAAATTAACAACCGTTTGATCAAATTCTTCCCACAAAATTGATTGAGAAGTGGTTGAATTTGTAGTGGCAGTGGCAATTGTAGGTTGTTGGGTTTCGAATGTGTCCTGTTCTAGTATAATACTTTGAACCTTTGCCCTTAGGAAATTGATAGCATTTGCACATTTTGTACCGTTGGAAAACACATGCTTTTTGAATCTCGGATCTAAGAGTGCTGCTTGAGTTACCAATGGATTATCTTCAATGTCATAAAACCTTTTAATCAACTCTTCACTCATTGTTTTAGCCATATGATGAATAGCAGTTGGTAATGTATTATTGTTAACAAACTTTGAGACATACTTATTCAATGAATTAACAAAAATAATTTCTTTTGATAGTGTAACATATTTGTCAGCACTAATCTCGACAGTGACGTCATAAAATATTTTTAATATATCCCGTGCATGCTCAAGAAGAATCCATTCCTCTGAATTGAGACAGTTTAACTCACTGTTACCCAATACTGCAAGGGTAGCAATAATGGATTCTTTAATCGATAAAATCCTGTCAAACATGTCATATGTTGAGTTCCAACGGGTTGGGCAGTCCAATTTAAGCTTTAGTTGAGGTAAGCCAGTTTGTTTTTGAAAATCTTGTAATTTTCCCAAAGCGTGGGAACTTTTCTTAAAAAACTTGACAATTGTCTTTACTTTTATTATAGTTGGCTCAATGGATTTTAAACTTGTCTGAACAACCAAATTGATCGAATGAGCAAAACAAGACAAATACCGCCAGTTGCATTTTTGTAATGCAGATTTAATATTGCTAGCATTGTCACTTATCACACCAGCTATTTTATTATTCAAATTCCACTCATCTACAATATTTCTTAAAAAAATCGCCAAGTTCTCTGCGGTATGTCTCTCACGGAAATTGGTACAACCTAGCAATACTGATGACAGCTGTGTTTCATTCGAAGGGTCGATAAAATGAACTGTAACTGCAACAAAACTTTCATTATTTAATGAAGTCCAGCCATCTGTGGTCATGCAAACTGCCGAAACATTTATTAATTGATTTTTAACTTTTTCAATGGTCATCTCATACTTTTGAGGCAATAAGCTCTGGGTGACAGTTTTTCTTGATGGTATGATATAATTTGGATTTAACATTTGAATCAAATTTCTGAATTCCTTATCCTCAACAACACTGAATGGGTGATACTCTTTTTCAATTATTTTGACTAGTTGTTGGTCAATTGCCTTTGACTTACTCATTGTAATTGGTCTTTGAACAAAGTTTGTCATAGTCATTTGCTTACGGTTTTGCTGCCTTGGAGGCTGTGCAATTGTTCCTAAACTAGGTTGATTTTCCATATTTGTTGAGGAAGTTGATGGCTGTGGGTTATCAATTGAGCCAGAGTTTGAATCATCGTCCTATGATTTTAAAATTAATTTTTATTATTATTTTTTTACTATTGTCGGAGATAAAATATTGACATATCACGCGAAAAAGTTGGTGAATGCCATTGATGTAAGTGTAAAAAATCATTAGATGCATTGTAGATCCCTAATATATTAATTTATATAATATATTTATTTACCTGGTTAATACTTCTTTCCAGTGGTACTGTTGGGTGTTTGGTCTTAATATGCCGTAACAAGTTTCCTGTTGAGCCACCATTAAAACTTTTTGTTTCTGAACAAATATTACATTTTGCCTTAACGTTATCTAATGCAGTGAAATGGTACCAAACACTACTATGTTTTCTATTCATTGTACGGGATGACATGGTGCTACTACTAATAATAATTATTCATAGTTTTAATATTTGTTTTTGTCATATAGTATAGTTTTTAGAAAAATACTCACTTAATTAATTTTAAAATAAATGTATACTTGGTGTAATAAATAAATAAATTAATATGACTTCAAATTTGGGATAGAAAATATTAAAACTTGAGAATATTTAAAAACTCAAAACAAAACAGTTGAACTTACAACTTCAATAGTTTTAAACTATCATAAATTCTGGCTAATAAAATACAAACTTAGTTAATTAGCAAAATAACTAGTGACGTAGTACACACAATGGCTAGTTTGTCAAAGGACTAAAAATTAAAACCTATTAATGAATTAAAGTTTTGAAATTTAAAACAAATCTTCAGCATGTTTCTGTAAAACCAGAACTTGTTTCTACAGGTTACAATATTTTTTTTTTATTAAAATAGAAAAATATACAATCATATACAAATATAAATGTATTGATAAAATATTTGTCCATTATTTATAGACACAATGTGGCTTACATTACATTTACATAAACATAGGGATGGTTAGGTTCTTATTGTAAAAAAAAAATATTTACATTTTTAGTCCATTTACAATTTTGTAAAAAGAACTAATATAAGATTTTTATAATTAGGTATTTTTAATTTTTGTAATAAAACAGGTCTTAAAAAATAAAACACAAACTCAAAAATTTGACAAAATAATTTATTATTAAAATATAATAATTTATTGTATTACAATACCTACAAAATAATTAATACTTATTATTAAAAATAAATATAATGGTAAGTGCTACCTATACAACTTATTAACTTAACTATTTATTTACAATATTAGATAGTATAAACAATCTATAGAAAAAAAGAATAATATACAAAATTAAAAATTATTTTTTTTTTTTTATTAAATATGGATGAGTTTGAAAAAATAAAAATATTACGTAAAATATCAACGATTAGTGTGTTTGTTATTACATTTTGTGAATCAGTTACAAATTTGAAATTACAAGGGTTTTTGATAAGTTTCTTCTTCCTTTAGGTCCGAATAATACCTATAAATTATAATATCAAACGACTCATAACAAAATATCATGTAAGTATTTAACGTTGTAACGAGTAACGATCAGCCAGTCACAACTTCACAAGTCATAACTCACAAGTCACAAGACCCGTGAACCGTTCATCATGGTTCACAATTCGCAGGAGCCACAGACTAGTTTTAACCGGTATCTGGATAATCGATCTTTCAGATCTAAAATGATCCGATTCAGACGAACGGGTCTTTTAACCGGATCATTTTAATGAACCGATCCGTAAGAACCGGGTCTCACAAGTGATCCGAACTTCCCACCTCTACTAATCGTTGGTGGCGGAATGAATAAACATAGAATAAAGATACCTAGAACGCCAACTTGATAGTTTATTCTGATACCATGAAAAATGGGAACACTAGCGCAGTGAGTGAATCTCTTTTGTAACAAAAATCGATAGTTTGTATAATCGATTGTTCTTTAAATCGATAGTATCTGATGCAGTTATATCGATTAATATGTAATAATTTGTACATTGCATATTATTATTTATTTTGTTTATTATATTATTAAATAGTAAATAGGTAAGGACATTAGGTATGTTTGTTCTTACTGGTTAAGCCGTTATTTTCATATTACATAATAAGTATAATAAAACTATGATTGATCATTTGAAATATTTTATTTTTATTTTTTACAAAAACCTACACAGAAATTGTACAAGTTTTTTTTTTAATTATAGAACTACACAACAAATAACATGACATTAAATATTAATACTTAATTATATTAATGCATAAATTAAATTATAAAAAGCTATAAACATATAGACCATATAAACATTTTTTTCATATAAAAATAAATTAAACAAATATTGAAGATACAACAGAATATAGTATTTATCTTCACAAACAAATTTATACATTAACATTTTTAGTTTTTTTTATAATAATTGCAAGTTAAATTTAGTTTCTTAATCATAAATAAATATACACTTCATCTCTGTATACTTTTATAGTTAAAAAATCAAAATATTAAATTATAAACATTTGCGTGTTTTATGTTTAAAATAATAATTATAAGCAGCTACTTTAAGAATATCTGTACTTTTTGAATGATAACTTCTATCCAAACCATTTAAAATATGGTTTATATGTTTGATGTAAGTGAATAGAAAAAAGTTTTTGAATTTATCATAAATTAAATCTTTTATATCATGAATAGGACATTTAATTGTGAAATCTATATTTATTTCAAATAACAATATCAATTGCTTGCCTATACTTTCATTGTCAATATTAAGTAAAATATATTTGGCAATATACAACATTTGATATATTATTTTTTGAAAGCTTTCGCTAGGATAAAGTAATGATTTAGTTGTATAATCTCTAACTCTTATTAAATTATTATTTTTGATATTTGAAATAAGAACATTTTTACAAAGTCTACAAAATTTATTTTCCTTTAGCTCCGTACGAGCTAAATATCCACTTATATATCCAATTGTCATATCAGTGAAATCACATACTTCGAATGTATTTGGTAGGTCTAACATGGGTATATTAATAATATTATTTTCTTCTGGTTCTTTCAACAAACAATTTGTGCCACTTTCGATAAATTGCTTTAAATTATCCAATGTTCCATCACTGTCATCGTGTTCACAATTTCCAGCAGATTTTATGGATGTGAAATTGTTTATCAATAATGTTTTAAATGAACAAACAAATTCATAGATAAGTATAATATAATAGATAGGCAACTCCTATGTAAAAAAAAAGAACTGCATACATTACGCTCCCGGTGGTTGCGTTGTTCAACTAATCTATATAACAATCGACGGTGCTATCGATAGTCACTACAATCGTATATCATCGATAGTTTAACATCGATATTACCACAATCGATATTACCACTGCCATACATAAAATTAGAAATTATGTATTTTGTTTATTATTGCTTTTATTAAATAAATAAAAAAATACTAAATAGTTATTGCTCTTAAAAGAATTTATTTATCTCCAATATAATAGGCACATAA